GGATAGGATGGAGAATTGGAATAAAATAGAGAAATAGAATAGAATAGGAACAGAATAGAATAGGAGAATTAATAGAATAGAATAGAATAGAATAGAATAGAATAGAATAGAATAGAATAGAATAGAATAGAGCATTAGAATAGAGAATTAGAATTAGAATAGGAATAGGAATAGAGAAATAGAATGGAATAGAATAGAATAAGAACATTCTGCTGATTCAAAAAAAGGCCCTAAAAATCAGCTGTGACTCATTCAACAACGGCCCTGTTTAGAAATGAAAATTCTGCTGCCAGTTGTGTTCCTAAGTTGGGCTGTGTGGATGCAGAAGGTTTAGAATAGAATAGAGCTGGAAGGTCTGACACAACACCACGACGTAGAAGCGGCCGGGTGGATTTTAAAGCAGGCGTGTGCAAAAAAAAAACCACGCAACGCCCTTCGCTCAACTGACAAACAGGAAAAACACAGTCCTTGCAATTAAAGGGGGGAAAACTTTCTTTTTTAGGCTTGTAGCGATAAGATTAACACGTCCAAATGGGAGAGCAATGACGTGCAAATGTTCACTTGCTCGCTTGCCAGCCACTTTTCTCATCGATTCTGATGGGCTGCTTGGAAGTTGCTGCTCTGTTATTAGTGCAAACCCACTCGTTCCCCAAGAAGAGTGAACTGGGGAGTGAAATCCCTTGTTCAGAAATTGCTGGTCGGTAACATGTTTACATAGGATAGGATAGGATAGGATAGGATAGGATAGGATAGGATAGGATAGGATAGGATAGGATAGGATGGGACAGGATATTAGAATGTAGAATAGAATAGAATAAGAAGAGAAGAGAAGAGAATAAGAATGAATAGAATTGAATAAAATAGGATATTGGAATGTAGAATAGAATAGAATGAGAAGAGAAGAGAAGAGAAGAGAATAAGAATGAATAGAATTGAATAGAATAGGATATTGGAATGTAGAATAGAATAGACTAAGAAGAGAAGAGAAGAGAAGAGAAGAGAAGAGAAGAGAAGAGAAGAATGAATAGAATTGAATAGAATAGGATATTGGAATGTAGAATAGAACAGAATAGAATAGAATAAGAATGAATAGAATAGAATAAGAATGAATAGAATAGAATTCTTTATTACTTTTTGCTTTCTTCCCTTGCCATATATATTTCAATACTATTTTATCAATACCTTCAAAGTATTTTCCCCCCAATTTTATTGGAATTGTTTGAAACAAACACAACACTTTGGGTAATATGTTCATCTCAATCGCCGCAATTCTTCCCGTTAATGATAACTGCACATTACCCCATTTTTCTAACTCTTGTCTTCATTTGTTGTTTGAGCTTATAATAATTACCTTCTTTAATTGTTCCACATCTTGCCATCAACTGAATTTCTAAATATTTAACTTTCTTTACTGTCTGAATATCTGTCCTCTTTGTCAATTCCTTTTTTGTTTGTTTGTTTCTCTGTCATGTTTTTTTTTTTGCCAATATCTTAGTTTCTCCTGTGTTTATTTTTAATCCAGCCATTTCTCCCATACTCCTCTATTTCGTTTATCAGCTTGGGTCGTGTCCCTAGAGGCTTTTCTTGCACAAGCTAAACGGCAAGCAACGTTTTTTAAATTTGGTTATTTACGTACAAGTCGTCCTTGACTTACAATGGTTCGTTTAGTGGCCGTTCCAAGTTACAAAAGGTGATTTATGACCGTTTTTTACCATTACGACTTTTGCAGCATTCCCCACTTAACAAATTTCTCATTTAACCACAGAAAGCTTGGGCTCAGCTGTGGTTGTAAGTTGTGGGCTATCTCTTTTCATTCATTCGTTTATTTTGCAGCTTATCTGCAAAATAGGCAACCTTGTGAATGGCTGTCTAGTTGAAAAATCTCATTTGGGATGAAGAAGGGTAGATAGCAGAGTAAAAACTCTTTGGTTAACTGGGACTGTGTGAGTTGCAGGTGTTTAAATCAACGTTTGTGAAACTTAGCAACTTTTAAGACTTCAATTCCCAGTATTGCCCAGCCAGCACGCTGTGCACGGACGTCCACAGGTCTTAAAATTGTCAAGTTTGAGAAATACAGCTTTAACCACAGCCAGGAATGAGTGGCTTTCAAGAGACGCCAATTAAATCACTGATATTGAATGCAATCTCCATTATAATTAGGAACAAAAGTCTGGAGAATTTGCTTAATTGATCTATTAATCAAAATCAGGATGAGAATACGGTGCCTTTGATAACTTCAAATAAATTGAAATTTTATTTAGGAGGATTAAAATCCCTAGAAATAAATTGAAGTTTATTTAGGGGCATTAAAATCCCTAGAAATGAACTGTAATTTATTCCTAAGGAAAGCGATAAAGCCTGCTGGCTGGGGGATTCTGGGAGCTGAAGACGACCCTTCTTAAACTTGCCAAGTTTGGAAAAGAATATTTCAGTTCTTTAGAAGGTTCCGTATCCAGCAAACTGGCACTTAGATGCTTGCAAGTCATTTTAATATCTCATTTTTCCATCAACTGAGTTGTAAACAAAAACGACCCAGTAGCTTTTCTTTTAGGAATCAGGAAATCCTGTAAAATTACAAAATGGTCGTAAGACGAGAGGATATAGCAACCCTTAGACTGGCGCCAAGCAGCCTCGCCTTCCGTCTTCCGGAAAAGACGAGGCCACAAACCCACATTCGTGGCTTGACTCCCTCATCTCTGTCTCTTTCTCTAGATACCTTCGCCAGCAAGGTGGCCGCCATCCAAGACCAGTACGCCGATGCTTCCATCGGTAACGTGACGGGCAGCAACGCAGTGAACGTCTTCCTGGGCATCGGGGTGGCCTGGACCATCGCCGCCAGTTACTGGGCCAGCCAGGGGAAGCCCTTCGAGGTTCAGCCGGGCACCCTGGCATTCTCCGTCACCCTCTTCACCATCTTTGCCTTCATCAGCATCGCGGTGCTGTTGTACCGGCGCCGGCCTCCGGTGGGGGGCGAGCTGGGAGGTCCCCGAACCCCAAAACTGCTGTCCACCCTGCTTTTCATCAGCCTCTGGCTGGTCTACATCCTCTTAGCGGCTTTGGAAGCCTATTGCCATATCGAAGGTTTCTGAAGCGGCGGGTTCGAATCCAGGACTTTGGGATTCCGGAGAGGACCTCACACCACTCGGAGAGCCTCCTCCGTGTGAAAAAGTGCAGGACCCCCTCCACCCAGCCCCCCCCCTTTTAATCCCCCTCTCTCCGCCGCCCGATTGGCCACTTTGGCGTCCGATTTGGGGTGTGCTCAGGTCTCCGTTTCAGCAAGGACCAGTTGAGACCCCCGCCCCCATCTGGGTTTTGGAGTGCCCCAAGTCACGAGTTCGAGACGGTGTCTTGGAGAAGACTTAAGGGGGAAGGAAACAATTTTTTGGGTGGGGGGGGGCGGGGAAAGCCGTCCTGGCTGTGCCTGAATGAGTGGCGGAAAGAATGGGTTCGCACACACCTGTCCAATTTCTCTCGTTCTCCTGCATTAAATCGAAGGCTTTGGACCCAGGTGAGAGAAGACACACCTTCAGTCAACGCTCCAAGAAATTAAAAAAAGGGGGGGCAGGATATGTTACCTCTCTCGTCCACCCTGCCCTACTTCAAGCCACGGTTTAGCAGAAGGAAACTTGCTCATGCTCGGATGTCGGAAACGGCTTCCGAAACCGAGTTTTTTGGAATGAAGCAATTTGCACAAAATATGCTCTCTTCTTGGTCTCCCATCCATGACGAGAAGAAGGGAAGCGGCCAGGCCGGGCCAAGAGGGGGAGGGAACAATCCCGAAACTGCCAATTTATCTCAAGCACAGCCCAGTCTCTCTTTAAAGGCCAACCTTCGCGCTCTTCCCGAAAACAGCACAAAACATCTCTCCAAACGGCAGAAAAAAGGAAGAAGAAGAAGAAGAAAAAAGAGATACTGCTTTTTCTTATAGCTTTTTTTTTTCCTCCTCCCCCAGGGTTCCTTGGTTTCTGTCATCCATTTTGGGGTTGGGGCTCTTTGTACGGGGCCCCTAATTTTTATTTTTTAGCATTGATCTTCACACGCTGTCCAAACACAAGATGCGCCTCCGTCCGGAGGGGTTATTTATCTGTTGTGTTCTGTTTCAAAACTGAGCCAAGGTGGAGGCCGTCCTCCCACTTACGACCACCATCGGGACTAGATCTTCAGTTACTAAGCGGGTCGCTGAATTGGTGTCCAGTTTTGTCACCTCGTTTTGCTGCCGTCGTTAAAGTGGATCGTTAATGGAGCCAGTTTTCCATTTTTGTGGCTGTTAAGTGAACCGCCAAATGGGTCATTCACTGAGCCATTCCCCGTTTTTAACTTCCCTTTGAAGTCGAAGCCAATTTTCAACTCAACTGAGCCATGCAACAAGTTTTACTTTTGGGGGGGTCACTTTTAAAGCGACGCACGCCGTCCGGTGAGAGCCGTGTCCAGTTTGATCACCTCCTTTGGCTGCTGTCGTTAAGTGAGTCGCGTGGTCAGGAAGCAAAACCCCGGCTTTCCCTGCCGCTTTATGAAGCTTGCTGAGAAAACCAACGGCATTCGTAGCCCCCACTCCCCGAGATCCTCCAACCATACACCTAAAACTTTGGGTCACGTGATCAGGAGGGGTCGCAAGTGAGAGGACCCATTGTACATCGCTCTGTTCGGTAGCGCCCTAACTTGGAATGGGTCGCTAAGCCGATGGTCGTAACCGAGAACTACCTGCACTCAAAAGTCACTTCATCGACTGTGTCTTCAGCTGGAATATCTGTGTGTTTCTGTGTGTTTTTCAGCCCACTGTGCCCTTTCCTTCTCCCCACCAAAATGGGGGTGCCTCAGGACCCCCCCCCAACCCTGTTTGCATGGCAGCTCCTGTGCCCCCCACCCCACCCTGCGCCCCAGCTGATCCCTTGCCTCTGTCCGTCACTTTGTCGCAACGTCCGAATGTCCATCTTCGGCCCTGACCTGCAGTCTGGTTTCTCCCACCACGTGCAACCGGGTGACACCGCCTGCCTGCCTGCGCTTAACTTCGGATCTGTTTTCTGTTTCGTGCGTGATCTATTTGTGTGAGTTTGTGGTTTTTCTAAAAAAAAAAAGAGAAAAGAAAAACTTTTTCTTTTCTTTTCTTTTAAAAACATCGAAAATTCCTGGGAGGCGGTTGTGCGTTGAACGTTTGTTGTTGTTTTTTCTCACTTGGTTGAAATGGGGGCCGGAAATCTCGTTCCATCGCAGAGAGGCTCGCATTGACCTCCTATCCACGGCTGGGAAAGGGAAAAGTGGGTCTATCAAAGGGATCCATCCAAAGGGATCCATCCAAAGGGATCCATCCAAAGGGATCCATCCAAAGGGTGGATTCCGTAAATCGGACTTAACAGCAAGAGCCTTGTAGTCCTTTAGATGCATAAAAGGGATCCGCAAACAGCATTTCTATAAATCAAATATACTACATAACAAGGGTGGATTTATAAAAGGAAACTATCAAAAAGGGGTCCCGTAAACTTACAGCAGGACTGGATCTATAAAACAACAGGATTTCTATAAATCAAACATAGAACAAGGGTGGGGGGAATTTATTAAAGGGATCTATCAAAAAAGGGTTCCATACATTGGACTTACAGCAAGAGTGGATCTATAAAAGGGACCCATCAACAGGATTTCTATAAATCACACAAGGGCAGATCTACAAAAGGGATCTATAAACAATCTTTTTAAAAGGATGGATCTATAGAAAGAATCTTATTACGGGGGGGGGGGCTTTCTGTGGACCCGTTCTATTAAAAGGGTGAACCTATATATAAATCAAGACTTACAAAAAAAAGGTGGTTTTTGGACAAGCCGGTGGCCCTCGGAAGGGGTTGGGACTACAACACCCATCATACCCAATTGGTACAATATTTTGGGGTGGCAGAATAATGTGTTGTAAACCCGGCGTGTCCAAACTCTGCAATGGTTGAGATTGGTGGACGTCCAACTCCCAGAATTCCCCAGCCAGCCATGCTGGCTGGGGAATTCTGGGAGTTGAGACGTTCACCAGTCTGAACCATTGCGGAGTTTGGACCTTTGTTTCAAACAAGTTTGTCGGAAGACAAAACTTCTCTCGAGAAGAAGAGAGAAGCTCTGAAACCTACCAAATTTTAACCAAAATAAATCCCACGGGTCAATCCTTTCCAATCCCTGAAAATTTTTTCTCTCTGTGTGTGTGTCTCTCTCTCTCTTTTGGCTCCATCTTCTAAACACGTCCTTCACTTCCAATCCCCTGAAGTTTTCCTCTGCCCTCCCTGCTCAGCTGCCTCTAAGCACGACCCAGGAGAGAGCAGAAGAAATATATGCAAAACTATGCGCAAACCACCACCACCACCCCAAAAAAACCCCAATTTTGGTCACCTTACTAACAAAAAAGAGGTTGAGACTTTGGAAAAAGTTCAGAGAAGAGCAGCTAAGATGAAACTAAGGCCTGGAGACTGAAACATATGAAGAATGGCTGCAGGATTTGGGTTCGGCTAGGGAGTCCAAAGAAAATTTAAGGTGGACATGACAGCAGCATTCCAGTATTTGTCAAATTATCAGGGGTCAAATTATTGTCCAAAGGCCCAGAAGGCAAGACAAGAAGTGATGGATGGAAGCTAATCAAAGGAGAGAAGCAACCTGGAATTAAGGAGGAACTAACTTAACAGGGAGGACAATTAACCTGTGGAACTGCTGGCTACCAGAAATTGTGGGTGCTTCATCGCTGGAGGTTTTCAAGAAGAGAGCAGATAGTCCCTTATACAAAATAGTATAGGTTCTCCTGCTTGAGCAGGTGGCTCGACTAAATGCCCTCCAAGGTCCCTTCCAGCTCATTCATCATCATCATTTAGCAACCCCATAATCCCTTGCTTTGGAGCGGAGCCTGGGCAACTGAGTAGAATAGAACGGAATAGAGTTGTTTACTGGCCGGATGCCCTTCCTGCTGTCAGCGTGGAGTTTTGTTTGGCAGATATATTCTCATTGTCCCCAAAGAGGGAAATATCTGCCTCTACCTGGGATCGAACTCGCCGCCTCCTGATTGGGAGGCCCCCAGCTCGTCCCATTCCATTCCAACCCTTCGCCTGATGCAAAACCAGGCCAGTCTTTGCCATTCGGAGAGGCGGAGGCAGGAATCCGACGGGAGACCATTGAATTACAGGTTTATTAGTCAACGTTAAAAAAAAAGACAGAAATAACAACGATCCATGCCATTCCGGGGGGGGGGGGGAGAGAAAGGGCAAGATTGATCAGTGGTCAACCTCGACTCTTCTCCTCTTTGGACCCATCCCGAAAACGATGACGGACAGACGGACGGACCGACCTGGCCTTTTTAACTTTTTGTCCCTCTTCGCTCGCCGTCCTTTGTTCCTGGACGGCCTTCCAACCAATCCAGTGGCCACTCCGGGTATCCTCTGCCCCCCCCCCCGCTCCCCCCCTCCCTCCACGCAGCTGGCAAAGCCCATCCAGCTGCAGGGAAGACGAAAACAAAAATGGACATTTCCCTTTTATTTTTTTTGTCTTTCTCAAGCTCTTGGGCTTTAAAAAAAAAAATAAAACGAAAGAAAGGGAAAAAAAAGGAGGGGGGGTGCGTTTAAAATAACCCTTTGCTCTCCCCCCGCTAGACAAAAAAAAATTGCTCTCATCTCTAATCGTGCATTCGAAAGGACACCGGGGGGAGGGGCGGGGAATGAGCGGCATGCGTGTTTTTCCACTGGCACCACGGCGTGCAAAATACGTGGACCACAGGGGCGTGTGTAGAATTGGGGGGGGGGGGAGGAGTAGATTGTCCAACCGTTGCCCCCCTCCCCTCTTTGACAAAAGGAGACTTTCTCCAGTCTCAATCCACCACGGAGAAGCGGGAGGAGACACACCACAAGTTAGCAATTTTTGTAAAAAAAAGAAAAAGTGGGGGAAACCCACAAAGTTTAAAAAAATAAAACTTTTTTTTAAAAAAAAAGGAAAAAAAAAAAGAAAATAGGAAACCAGAAAGAAGTGCCTTTAGTGTGTTTTTTTGGCCGGTCCTAACCTCCCCGTCCCTACGTGGGGTGTGTTTAACATGCAAAGGTGCTGCCCCCCCCACACTGCCCGGGCCGCCCCATGCTTCTCGTTGGCGGCCGGCCGGCCTTCGGGGACGTCCCTTATTCTCCGTTGGATTCACAGGACCGTCAGCTCGTCTTCGGGGGGCAAGGAGCTGACGCTGGTGGCCGGGGGGTGCCCGTTGCTGACCGTCCCGTCGAGTTCTTCTTGAAGGAACCGGCCAATCTCTTGGGTCAGGGAGCAGCACTCCAGCTGCCATTCTTGTTCCAGCTGGGCTACCAACTAGGAAAGAGAAAGGAGGAATGGAGGAAGGGAGAGGCGAAACGAGCGGCAACGTCTCGATCCAAGAGACATTTGAGTTCGCAGCAGACAAACGAATTCTACGTGACCGTAAAGCAGATCCGGGTCTCCAAACTTGGCAACTTGAAGGCTTGTGGACTTCAACTCCCAGAAGTCTCCAGCCAGGAAGGCCAAAAATGGAGCGCTGGGACGGCATCACACACACACACACACACACACACACACACACACACACACACACCCTGCATGTCCCTTTTCGCCTCCTAGGCCTCAGGGAAGCAAGTAAGACAGTGAAGGATATCCCAGCACAGCTGATCATAGGAACAGCTGATCGTTGGGAGGAAAAATAGAAAGAAATACCTTAAGGAGTGACTGGCGGGAGAACCAGGGGTGGGATGCAATTTTTTTTAACAACCGGTTCTGTGGGCGTGGCTTAGGTGGTGGGCATGGCTTGGTGGTCATGTGACTGGGTGGACATGGCTTGGTGGTCATGTTATTGGCTGGGCGTGACCAACTCAATATCACTCACTTCAAGGCACGCATCACCTCGCCTGGCCTCTCGAGTCGTAAGTGTGAAAAATGGCCATAGGTCACTTTTTTCAGGGCCATTGTAACTTTGAATGGTCACTCCACACAAGCAAAGTACCAGCAAAGGAGGGAAAGGAAAACTCCAGAGAGGTTCCTGAGACAGGAAGTCCAATCCTGCCAAGAATGTAATAAGGGTTAACGGAGAAGTAGTTTCTGTAAGCAACACCAGAATGTTTCCTTCCCGCCTTTCTTACAGGATTAGCCCAGTAATTTCTTCTAACAACCGGTTCTCCGAACTGCTTAGGATGTTCACAACCGGTTCTAGCGAATAGGTGCGAAGTGGTAGAATCCCACCCCTGGGGAGAACGCAATCAGCGGTGTCAGGCATGCGCATGATGTCGCGCATGCACGATAAGGACTGACTGGGCGGGAAGTGGGGGGGGCAGGAGGAGACGGTTAGGGCCAGCCAGGGGCACAATTTGCCAATTCTCCAAACTGCGCAGAATCCTAACAACCGGTTTGGCCAAACCGGTCGGAACCCATAGAATCCCGCCCCTGCTTCTGAGCCGTGGTGGTGTGCTACCGGTTTGGTCCGGTTCACCCGACCCGGTAGTAAAAACAAAAAGGCCTCTAACGATCAGCTGAGAGGCGGCCCTCCCACCAGCCCCTACACTTCTCTTCATCCTCTCAGCTGATTGGCACTGCAGGCCTCAGCCGATGTGTGGAAAGCGGCACGTGCGTGTTCCATGAGCGTGTGTTAGGTGCGCACACGCACTGAAACAGTGGCGGAACAGGTAGGATCCCGCTGCTGCTTCTGAGCCTCATTCTCCATCCGTTATGCAGCCGAGGGCTCGGCTGTCTCTTATCCGACTATTCCTTCGGACCCATCATTTAGCCCCAAGGTCCAAGATCGGTCTTGGCGACCCCTTTGTAAAATCACCCACCCGTGGCTCTTCGTCCTCAATCAACTGCATGATTTCCTGGTGTCCCAAAAGTAATTTTTCCTGACGTCGTTTCTGGGCCTCCTCAAGCTGAAAAAAAGAAGCGGGAAAAATAAGCCAAGGGATAGAAGAACAGCCGTCTGAATTCATCCGCTGGTTTGCCAGCGATTCTTTTTTTTTTTTCCAAAGTCGATCCCGTTTTGTTCGCTCCAGTCTAGACTACTGCAGTGTGGGACTGCCCCCTCGAAGACCAGCCAGAAATATTCTCAAAATTCAGAATTCGGCCTCCCAAAATGAAAAAATAAATAAATATTTAGCCCATTTTTGGAGGGGTGTGTGTGCGTGTGTGTCAGAGCTCAACTCAAAGCATCAGTCCAATAAATTAAAGTTTATCCCGAATTGTATCTTTCTCCGCTTCTTTGCTACACATTCGGAAAAAATAAGAAACCCTTAATTTAGTTAACTATTTGTGTGTGCGTGTGCGACACTTATTTAGAGTAGTGTTGTGGTGTGTTTCATTGTGTGAGAATGATAATGCCCTTGGCTCCCGTAAGGAAAAAGGAAATTGAACATAGCAATTATGAAAATGGAGGCTTGTTAGATGCTTACCCTCCGAATTGAGTTTACGGACTCCGTGATGTGCCTTCTGTTGATCTCAGTTAATTCCCTGAGGAGAGACAAACCAGGTTAAGGGCAATCCCTAACTGGCTTGGCCCACCCACACAAACCACCGTACGATTTGGGTTTTCTTTCGGCTCCTGGCTAAACTCACACATCTTTTTTGCTCCTCTCGCGAGATTTCGCTTCCGAGATGCTGTTGTGCCGTTTTCGATCCAGGATTTTCTGCAGTTCCTTCTTCTCTCTAGCACGAAAAGCGTAACGGCGGGGCAGGTGAGTGCTTATTCTACAAGGTGTAAATGAAACTAACCCCCCCACCCCCCCCGGCAGCCAAAGATGGCGGGATGAAAAGAAAGGCGAAATTCCCACACTCCTCGTCTGGGGCCTGCCATTTGTCCTCGCTTTACGACTCACTTCTCGCTCGTTTCTTTCAGCTTCTTCAGTTGTGCTGTCTGGTAATCCTGGGCGATGTCTTTTAAGCGCTGCTGGGCCTGAGGATGAAGCCAGAAGGAAGGAAGGAAGGAAGGAAGGAAGGAAGGAAGGAAGGAAGGA